TAAGGCAGGGGCTTACCAGTGGTGGGAAGAGGAGGCTCGACGACTCGGCGACTCGGCGACTTGGCAGCACGGCGGCACTGCAACAACTACGGCTTGGCGGCTCGGGCTACTCGGGCGGCTCGGCTGCACGGGCGACTCGGGCGGCTCGGCGGCTCGGCGGTACGGTTGCTCAGCAGCAACTGCAGCTCGGCGGCTCGGCGACCCGGCGGCTCGGGCGGCTTAGGTGGCGCTGCGGCTAGGGCGGCTCGGGCGGCTCGGGTGGCTCGGACGGCTCGGGCGGCTCGGGCAGCTCGGGCGGCTCGGGCGGCTCGGGTGACTCGGCACTAGCTCGGCGGCACCGGCGGCTCGGTGGTGACGGCGGGGCCGCCTGGGGACAGCGGCGGGGCCGGGTGGAGCGGCGACGGGGCCAGCAGAGGCGGCGCCGGGGCCGGCAGAGGTGGAGCAGGGTCGCAGGGGCGCAGGGGCAGGCGACGGGGCCAGCAGAGGCGGGGCCGGGTTGGTGCAGGGCTGCGGGGCCGCAAGGGAGGTGGCGGGGCCGCGGTGGAGAATGGCGGCAGGGGCCGCGACGAAGGGCGGCAGGGGTCGCGACTAAGGGCGGCAGGGGCCGCAACGAAGGGCGGGCCGCGACGAGAGTGGCGGGGCCGCGACTAGAGATGGCGGGGCCGCGACGAGAGGTGGCGGGGCCGCGACGAGGGGCGGGGCCGCGGCGTAGGGCGGGGCCGCGACGTAGGGCGGGGCCGCGACGTAGGGCGGGGCCGCGACAAGGGGCGGGGCCGCGACGTAGGGCGGGGTTGTGATAAGGGGCAGGGCCGCGACGAAAGAGGCGGGGTCGCGCGCCTCGGGGCGCGCACCAGAAAGAAAATCGCCGCGCTAGGTCGCACGCCGCGGGGCGTGCGACAGATCGAGTAGCAGCGGAAGCAGTAGTAGGGCCTTAAGAACAGTTCCCACGAGGGAACCTGCTCGATACCATGTGAGAATTGAAACGAGGATGAATGAACTATGAAATGAGTGAGTACAAGTACTAACCCTGATTGGGTTGTACCCCCTATGGGATACCCCACTATAGCCTACACAAATGTATAAGCTATATAGCATTCTTACAGGCCGCGGTAGCTGTAGGGCGGGGCCGTGTCAGCAGCATGTCGGGGCCGAGTTAGCGGCAGGGCGGAGCCGCGACAGCGTCCTGGCGGGGCCGCGTCAGCGGCACGCCGTGGCCGCGACAGCGGCAGGGCAGGGCCGTGTCCGCGGCAGGGCGGGGCTATGTCAGCGGTAGGGCGGGGCCGCAACAACGGCAGGGCGGCGCCGCGTCAGCGGTAGGGCGGGGCCGCGACAACGGCAGGGCGGCGCCGCGTCAGCAGCAAGGTGGTGCCGCATCAACGACAGGGCGAGGCTGCGACCTGGCGGGGCTGCGTCGGCGGCAGGGTGGGGCCGCGACAGCGGCAGGGCGGCGCCGCGTCAGTGGCAAGGCGGGGCCGCGTCAGCTACAGGGTGGGGCCGCGACCTGGCGGCGCCGCGTCAGCGGCAAGGAGGGGCCGCAACTACAGCAGGGCGGGGCCGCGTCAGCGACCTGGTGGAGCGGCGCTCTGGCCTGACGGGCCTGCAGGGGCGGCTCGCAGGCCTGAAGGGCCTGCAGGGGCGGCTCGCGGGCCTGACGGGCCTGCAGGGGGCGGCTCGCGGGCCTGACAGGTCTGCAGGGGCAGCGCTTTGGCCTGACGGGCCTGCAGGGGCGGCTCGCGGGCCTTACGGGCCTGCAGGGGCGGCGCTTTGGCCTAGGGCAGCAATAGGCAGCGCGAGGGCTGCATGACGGCGCGCGGAGCGCAGTACATCACAAGGCAAGGCAAGGCAGGGGAAGGCAGGCACAAGACAACACGTAGGGTAGCGCGGTAGCCGCAACGGTAGGTGGGCCCGAAGAAAAAGACGGTCCTACGGACCTAGTGCTCTGAAACCATGTCAGAATCTAGCAGCAGGAATGAATGAACTATAAAAGAATTGGGTACAAATATGAAACCCTAATATGGGTTGTACCCCATATTGGCTACCCCACTACAGCCTAAACATATATAGCCGGGGTTTCCGCGATATACACGCTCTCGCGTAGCGGAGGGGGCTTCTTGAGGGGGGGTGGGGGGGCAAGTGTAAGGAATTTTCTCGACATTCCTTAGCGCGCCCAACAACATCGCGTACATCAGCAGCCGTTGTTCGCCCGTTACTACTAATGGAGCTCCGCCGACTTCGCGCGCACTGTTTCACCAAACCTCGCACTGCTGGCCCGACCGTGTCGGCCTACGCTTCGGGACTAGCCCGAACCTCGCTGCCAACGTAGCACTAGCTAGCTCGCACGCACCGCGTTACCGTTTGCATGTTTCGCGTATAAATGTTCGCTCATGCCTTTGCTCACATTTTGTACTCGTTTGACACCAATCTCTCGCTACCTAGATTCATTGCACCTGTAACAAATGGTAAGATCTCAATTGGAATGGAAAGCTACAACCTAAATCAAAATCTCGTCCTTGCAGAAGCATCACTTATAATTCGCGCTGTAACCAAGAATTGCTGTTTGAATGGTCTCTTGAAGCCGCATCGTTCTGTGCGGGGGGAGGACATCTCGCGTTGTACACGCGTTTGATGTGCTATTCTTCTGTCTGGCATCGATTCCATTGTGAACAAAGCTCAGCTTGTGTGTGTGATCTGGTCCTAGCGATCAGATGGGTTTGGGTTTGAACAGCTGCTCTGTCTGTCCACCTCAGAAATACTGCTACAATCATTACATCTCTCCGTGTAGAACGGAAAGGGATCTACGCAAACCACTGAAGTCCCTGCCATCGATTTTGTGATGATGAAAGTCCCATGGGTATATCCAGCCTTAAAAATCTTTGCACAAGTCACGCACGTGGGTATCTGCCTTGCAAACCCGCATTGGTTTTGCAGGTGACCCTAAAGCTGGGCTTGTTGTGGGGATAAACCAGTTTTACAAAACTTGGTGATCCTAATCTTGCTTCTGAGTGAAAGGAAAAACATTTCTACAGCTGCTGATCGAGTACAGCACTCTGCGCAAAAGACCCTGACAAGTGTGTGATTTTCCAGATATTCTTGGATTTGATGTGAAGCACGTGATGCACGGAATTTGCGAAACTATGAAATTCAACGCGGAACCTGGGAAACAGTAGAGCATGGCTGGACTGTTCTGTACACATCCCCATTTTGATCAGTGTACAGTTCAGGCTTAAATTTCCAACCTCCAGTCAGAATTCCACTTCATAAGGACTCTGGCAACTGACCGAGATACAGTTCTTATTTCACTCGAACCCAAAGCAAGCAGTGAATCTGGCGTGTCACAGCCTGGGATGTTTTTGAAGAATCTTCAACAGCACTAGACATGGTCCAAGCTTTTGAAGAGATTATGGGCATTCTACAAGTTCGGGTCGACTCGACTCAAGCTTCCTCCCAGCTGGAGAATCAGTTGCTTGACGCGCTGGCTGTTCTGGCTCTAGGTTTGTGACTCACATGATTATCTGTGGTCGAAAGTGGTTCGATGAGTTGGTAACGGGCAGGGAGCAATCATTATCACAATCGACTCCACACATGTCTCAAGTGTTTGTACTACGTTCTCCACAGATTTGCACGGTGTTTGGTGTACACAATAAGTATCATTTGCGGGAAGGTTCACACATTCTTCCAAAGGTTCATGTTATGCTTTGCTTATTCTAGTTTTCCACCGCCGACGTAATCTCGGGCAGCCCTAGGTGGGCTAGTTCAGGTACCCTTACTCCGATGTCATCATGATTGCACAATATGTTCGTGAGGCTGCTCCAGCTACACACTAGATTTTGGGACCAGCTAGTTTCGAGAAAACTCACTACTGATCTTGAAGGATGGTGTGGTGCATCGGCTCTGGTTGCTCTGTCGATGACGAGTCCAGAACTCCGTCTGCAGGAATAGCCAGGCATCCGATTCTAGCTAGGGAGGATGTGCTCGGATTCTTTCACAAAAGAACGGCCTCTTGAAAATTGGAACTCGCCCTCTCAAAAGGGCTAGCTTAGAATTCTCAGTGGGGACCACAAAATAAACATCACCCTTCGCTGGCCTTTCGGAGTGATTCGATTCTCCTAGCTGGCGATACCAGACGATGCCCTCATTTATGCCAGACTAGCCAAGCCAAACGAAGACAAGCCACCACCGTCGAACAGACCCGCCACGATAGGCCAGAAACACACATGCACTGATTCCAGCTTCAACGAGCAAGGCTACACTCTGGCGGTAGCGCCTCGAGCTGGCCTGTGCTGCTCACTTTGAGAGGAAGGGCCCTTGACAAAATCATTTTCTCTTTCATCCCGCTCTTGCTGATCGCGGACAAACACCGAGACCCCGCCACACAAGTCCCCAGCAAGTCTTTCCAGTTGGCGATGCTATGCGTCTTTCACTGAACAGACTGATGAACACTGATGCAAGGCTGGAAGGTTGTCAAACCTAGTCCATTCCCTCTCGAGCCATTGTAACGACACCACTACCCACCCTCCCACAAGCGTCTAACTGATGCCAATGTCCTCTCATGAGCCCATCGTTCAGAGCACATGAACCCTCAGCCGCGCTACCAAGCTTCACGGTGGCTGACTTTCTCGTCCAATCGTCGTCCTACATCTGCACGTGCTCCATGCTTCATGCCTCACTACTTTAATAATTCGTTCTGTATGCAACGCCGGCAGTTGTCGTACATTTCCTCTTCCACCCCAGCTCAGTGTTAGTGTCCTCCTGCGCATTTGAACAATAATCAGTCCTCAGCAGCCTCGTTCTCGCTCGGCTTGTTGCTATGTGTTGTTACTAACTGTACCTACTAGAAACGTTTTTTTCAACCAACTCAATTTTCAACAAGTCGTCGGCAGTCACCCTGGATCAATCAACGCGCACTCGCACAGCGAGTGAGGCCTTCAAGCTGCCACGGTCCAGTCCGGTTCCGCGGCTGCCGCTACCGCTGCTGCAACTACCTCTGCCTGCGCGCTTCTATGGACGCCAATTATAATCCGTCAAAGTATAGCGATCTTCTCGCCGGCAATCGACGCACGACGCTGCAACCGGGACGCGCGAGCAAGCACCGGCAAATCCCGCCCGTCCGTTCCCTCTCCGCGGCCTCTGCCGCCTCCGCGGGGTCCTTTTCCCCCCAATCCTCCGCCTCTTTTCTCGTTCCCGCCAAGCCAACGCAAAGGCTAGTATCTGGTCATAGCAACACCCACATCGTTCCCGATCTTTTAGCGCTGGAGCGGCCGCATTGCCCGCCGCCTCCGGCGCCTCCGCGGCTGACGTCGCGCAACGAGACCAGCCAACGTCAGCGCATCAGCCGCTTTTTTTGCGAGGTGTCTGCCGAGACGGCGACTCACTCCGCCGCCGCCGCCAGCGCCGCGCGCTGCGGCTCGTCGCGCCGCAAGCGCGAGGACTCCGAGTCGGTCGCGACTCCCGCTCCGGAAGGGTCCGGAGCGGTCTTATTCGGGCATCGAATCATCCCGCACGTTCACTCCCCCCCCCCGGCGTCGCTCCCCGCAGGCATCATGTCGCGGTGGCATGGGGAAGACGGGGAGCTGCCTAGAAAACGACCGCGCGCCGCGCCGGAAACTGCGGGCGCTCGTTCCGCGCTGCAGGCATTCAAGAACGAACCCAGCGACAGTGGCACCGCGGATCTGCGCCATCCCGCGCAGCTGCCGTCGCCACAGCAGCTGTCGCTAACCGCGTCGACTCCTCTAGGGGACCCGTTGGGCCTTTCCCCGTACCCTTACGGGCCTGGCGGCGGCGTCGGCTCCGCAGGGGAGACGAACGCGCTGCATTTGGAAACGCCCACGCGCGGCACCCGCGGGCTGTCCCCCCCCGCGGGTCTAGACGCCCGTCGCCGGTTCCATGGCTCCTCCTCCCTCTGGGCCTCCGCCGGCGGGGATAGCGTCGAAGGCGCGCTCGCCCCCGGCGGGGGGAGCGGCGCTGTCGGCGGAGCCACGGGGGGCGCAGATCGCCCAGAATCAGCGGGCGCGCGCGCGTTCTCCTTCCTGATGCCCGCGGGGAAAGGCGCGTCCGCCTTGCTGTCTCCGCCGCAGGTCCCGTGGACGGGCGGGGCGGGGAAAGGGAGGGAGGAGGAGGTGCAAGGGCGGGAGATGCAGCTGCTGCCGTTCGCGCCGCTCGATCGCGCGTTCCGCGGCCGAGGGGAAGGGGAGGCGAGGAAGGCGGAGGAAGGGGGCGACGACAACGGCGCGGCTGATCCGCGCTGCGCCGCCGACGGCCAGGGGTTGTTGGCCCGCGGCGGCCCGGGGATGTCTAGTGCGAACATCGGGGAGGCCGCCGCGTTTCGTCGCGCGGACAAGATCAGCAGCAAGACGCGTCGAAGCCACGGCGTGGCGGCGTCCGCACGAGACCAGCAAAGCGCCGCTGACGCGGCGGCGATGCAGCACGCGCTGCGGCTACAGATGATGACGCATCAGATGCCGCTGTCCTTGGAGTCTCAACTACAGCTGGAGCGCGGTTCGATCGCTATATCTGCCGCCTCTGCCCCTGCTGCCTCCGCTTCTGTCTCTGCTACAGTCGCCGCTTCTGCCGCCGCGCTCGCCGCTGGTGCGGCCGCCACGGCCGCAGCTGGCCGGACCTCGCCCACGTCGCTGATGCTCCCGCGCGCTCCGGCGGGGCATTTAACGCAGCGGGACCGCGTGCACATGAGCTTCAGCAACGCAAGCCCTCTCCACGCGGCTAATGCGGCGGCTACTGCGGCAACAGCGGCGCAAACCGCTGGGGCGATGGGATCTGCAGCGGCCCGTCCCTTCCTGGTTCCGGGCTCTGGTTGGACCGCTGCGACTTCCGCCACAGCCGCCACCGCCTCAAGCGCCGCCCCCGCCAGCGTCGCTCCAGCCGCCGCTACCGCGACCTCTGCCGCGCACTCGGCGGCGCAAGGCCTGGCGCGCGCGCTCGGCGCGGGCGCGAGCTGGACGGGCCCGCGCAGGCTCCCCACGGGGCCTAGTGAGGGGCCGATCGCGTCCGTTGCGGACAACGGGGGCGCGCACGCGGGCGCGCACGGGGGCGCGGAGAGAGATACGGGGAACCGGGAAGCGCTCGCCGCTACTCTCGCTGCCGCTGCCGCCATGGCCGCTGCTGCTGTCGCTGCAGCAGGGGGGGAGGGCGGAAAGTGGCAGCAGGTGGAGCAGGAGATGCAAGAGTGGGCGGCGCAAGGGATGGCGGAGCGGGATGTGCGGGCGAGAGGGAGGGAGGTGTCATCGCATAATAGCAACTCAGGGCTGCAGCTGCAATCCCTGCAGCAGCAACAGTATTTGCAGCAGCAGCTCCAGCAGCAGCAGCAGCAGTTTACCAGGGAGCAGCATGCAACGTTCCGTGGAGGCGGTGTGGGGGGAGGAGCTATCTTACCTGTATGGTGGAACGACCACATGGCTTCCCTCATTGCGGCGTCGCATGCTGCTGCCATCGCTGCCGCCCCTGCCGCCCCTGCTGCCCCCGCTGCTCCTGCCCCTGCTAATTTCCTCCCTGCAATGGTCCCCCCAAGGGCTCCAACCCCTCCTCTTCCCCCAGCCGCAGCAGCGGCAGCGGCAGCGGCGGCAGCAGCCGCAGCAGCAGCAGCAGCAGCAGTGGCGTCGGGGGGCATGCACGCGCAAGGTGGTGTGGGCGTATCTGGAACACCTACCCTTTCCGCTCTTCAACAGCAGCAGCAGGCGAGGAGACAGCCCGTTACAGCTCCTCCCCCTGCAGCAACAGCAGCCGCCGTTGCCAGGACTCGAACTCCCCCTGTTCCCGGCTCCGCTTCAGCTGCAGTGGCCGACGCAGCAGCAGGTGCGGCGTTCAGGAGGAGCCTCTCTTTCTCTGCTGCTGGGGCTGCTGCAGCTGCAGCAGCCACGCCTGCTGGGACAGCAGGGGGGAGTGGTGGCAGTGGCAGTGGGGGTGCTGGGCGGCGTAGGCAGACCACTTCAGCAGGAACAGGCACCCAGATCACTTCCGCTGCCCCTGCTGGCGCTGCAGCCGCCGTTGCTGCCGATGCCTCTGCTAGCGCTGCTGCTGCTGAGGAGGGCGGATCTGCTGCTGCTGCGATGGCAGCAGGGGGGAGCGCAGGAGGAGCAGCGGCAGGGGGGAGTGTGGGGAGCCGGCATAAGCTGTGGTGCAGCGAGGACGGGTACAAGTGCAAGGAGTGTGGCATGAGGTTCAACAACGCGCAGGCCCTGGGCGGACACATGACCGCACACACCAAACGGCGCAGGTCCAACTTCTCGGGGTATACCTTCAGTGATGCTGGCTCTACTCCTGCCTCCTCTGCACACGTGGCTGGGACCACCTCTTTCGCCCCGCCCCTCCTGCCCCCTGCTGGCGATGCCGCACGCACAGCAGCTGTGGGAGCAGCGGGAGAAGCAGCAGCAGGAGAAGGGAGGGTGGGAGGTGGCACAAGGTTGGCAAGTTTTGGAAGGTTGGGAGGGATGGCGCCTACTGCTTCTCCTGCGGCTTCTGGCGCTACTGCTGGTGCTACCGCCGGCCCTACGGGTCCTACTGGTGCTGCTTCTGCTGGTGCTGCTGCTGGTGGAGCAGGTGGGAGGGGTCAAGACTCAGGAGCGACAGCTATGATGGCTGCTGCTATGGCTGCGGCTGCAGCAGCAGTGGCAGCCGCATCAGGCGGTGGTGCAGCAGCTGCCGCAGCAGCAGCAGAGCCAGTTCTAGCCAGACTGCTAGGCCTGGGGTCACCCAGTGCGCTCTTAGAAATGGCACGCAGTGGGGGGATGCTGAGAGGAAGTGGAGGTGGAGCGAGTGATGGGCGGGGAGAGGGAGAAAGGGAGGTTGCTTTGAGAAAGCAGGTTCAGGAGCAGCAGCAACTGCTGCGACTACAGCAGCAGCAGTTGCAGCAGCAGCAGATGCAGTTGCAACAGCAGCAGCAGCATCAACAGCAGCAGCAGCAGCAGCAGCAGCAGCAGCAGCAGCAGCAGCAGCAGCAGCAGCAGCAGCAGCAGCAGCAGCAGCAGCAGCAGCAGCAGCAGCAGCAGCAGCAGCAGCAGCAGCAGCAGCAGCAGCAGCAGCAGCAGCAGCAGCAGCAGCAGCAGCAGCAGCAGCAGCAGCAGCAGCAGCAGCAGCAGCAGCAGCAGCAGCAGCAGCAGCAGCAGCAGCAGGAGGTGTGGCAGCAGCAGGCTGAGGAGATGAAAAGAGAAGGCGGGGAGGAAGTGGAGTGGGATCCTAAGAGTCTCTTTGCCTCTCAGCCCAATCGCACTCCCAGCAAAGAATCACCACTGCAACGGTCACTCTCCCTGCTGAGTCCTTCACTGCGTGGCGTGGCAATGCACGCACCAGCTGCTCCCCTCCCACCCTCCCGTCCTCCTATTGCTCCTCCTCCCCCTCTGCACATTCCCTCTCTCCCCACCACCGCTCTCATGCATGCCCTGCAGCAACACCAACAGCAGCAGCAGCAACAATACCAGCACCAAGAGCAGCAGCAGCAGGAACTGCTATTCCAACACCAACAGCTACTGCTCCAGCAACAACAGCTGCAACAAACCACCCAGGCCCCTCGCCAAGCATCCCAGACCATAGCCCCCTCAAGAGCTCTCGTCACCAGAGACGCCGTTGAGACAACAGCTGTACGCACTCCTGTTGCAGCTCAGCCCTTGCCAGCTAGCGCTGCTGCTGCTGCTGCCGCTGCTGCCGCTGCTGCTGCCGCTGCTGCTGCCGCTGCAGCTCCTCCTGTGGATGCCCGTGCAGGGAAGGAGGAGCCTGAAGAGGACGATCTGGATCGTGGTTTAGGGCTGAACCTCAGGCTTACACTGTGACGTTTATTGCAGACGGTATACTGGCAATTGTTTTCCTTTCCTTAGGTATAGTTGCTTACTTCAGCTGCTCCTGCTGTCATATGCACTTGATTCTAGGTTATGTCTCTAGTAGAGGCCTTGCTTGTAGTGGTTGAGGTATGGATATCGCGCTAGTGGAACTAAAATACTAAATAAAGTGGTAGTGTGTTTTGCATTTGCTTTGCACGACGGAACTGTTTATCCCTTCGCATGCAAGACATGGAAGAGTGACGGCTTGCACAATCCACATGGTGTCTAATTACCAGTACCCGGTATTAGTGTCGTCTTAGCAAGTGATCGCCTCGACTCACACCACAACTTCGCTAGTGCACGCGTGCAAGAACGTATGTGGTGCTGCGTGTTCTGCATATGAACCACCAGGTGAATCACGATAGGGGCACCAAGTTGGCACTAAATGACCATGTACACGCTTTGGGGTCCATGAATCCACGAACGTGCCGTACGTGCTTTTCAGTGTAAAAAATGTGGGTTATGCGAAGTTGGATGTGCAATGCGTGCATTATGGTTCGTGCATTTTCTGAACATAGTGTTGACAACGGACTCGTCCGTATAAAGAGAGGTTTGTCAAAAGGTGGTACATAGTGTGATGATTAGTGGCTGTTGTAACTGGTGGATAACGGCATGCAGTGGAGCTGATTATGGTACAAAGAAATGAAGATTTAATTTCCTTTTACGGTAGCATCTTAATTCTTAATATTTTCCGCTAGTGCAATCCTAGCTCTCTCGCTCTGTTATGAATGAACTTGCAGAGTGCGCAGAATATCGAATAACGAGAATGGACTGATTACCGAATGACGATACAATGAGAAGGGCACGACTAAATAGGGGAAGTCCTAGCTAGGCGGAGAGGTTGGGCGAGGATGGCTCGGTGATGGTTGCGATTGGAGCGGAGGCGAGTCGGGAGTGGTTCGGTGCGACGAAATAGGAAGGACAGGTTCGTCGCGTGACCCTCGGGATGACCTCGCTAAAGAGTGCCTCAGTAAGGCTTCTGTAAATCCTTACACGCTCTATTGCTTACGTAACATAGCAACGTTCGCCAAAACCACGTGTAGCATGCCAGTGATGCTTTTCTCTCCCATCAGGGCTGTCGTTTCGTTTTGCACCCCCCGGACAAATCAGGGGGCCTGGCATGTACGACCCTGTATTTAGCAGGGTCGGGGCGAATCTCGGCCCTTTAGGCTTGAGAGCTGAATTTTTTCCTCCCTGTAAATTGTTGGAAATCCGAATACAGTATAACGAATACTGTATACCAGTGTGCTGTTTGGTTTTAGTGTAGTACTCGTTATAAGCCTCCAGGTCCTACAATAATTGTCACAATTATTGTAGGGCCACAATTATTGGAGTCTAGCATTATTGGGGGGTAGAGGGTACAATTATTGGTACACCATTATTGGTGTGAATGGGTCATTCTGGAGGGGTAGCTGGATGCATATATACCCTGCTGTGTCACTTCTTCACCATGATTGAGCCATCATTGAGCTACACATTGTGTCATCATTTTACTTTTCAATGATCAATGCAAGATTTCTATCTTGTTCTTTTCTACAAACACGTTTCCGCTACGCTGGCACTATGCCTTTCTAGCATGGTATCAGAGCTACTCTAGGGGGCATGCTGCCAAAACTGGTTCAGGAATTTACTGGCATACAGTTTGGATAGGTACCTGCATACAGTCGGAGTACCGCACACCTGGTCTACGCTTTCGTACACCTGGTGTTCGCTGTTGGTTACAACTGCGCGTTTACCGCACACTTGGTGGACGGTTTTGTCAAGGTCATGGCGCACTTCGATGGCGAAGTGGATCCTGGATATGCGGCTTTTGAAGAAGCCATCATGGCTCAGCATGAGCACCTGGAAAGCATGATTGCAAGGGCACCACCAACTCTCCAAGCTTCGTTAAGGGACAAGTTTGGAATGACAATCCAGCCAAGAGCAAAACTCTCTCATGAGTTCAGCAATCCGTCCACCCATGAACAATCTCATTCAAGCACTCCACGTACTAACCAAACTCGTGCAAATGTTCATGCAGGAATTGATGGTGAAGGGGAAATGGGCATACCTCAAGGAGGAGAGTCATCCCAATGGAGGGATGCATCCGTCCAAGGAGAGGAGATCGCCAATTCCGCACCTCAATCATCCATGCAAAGGGAAGCACGGAGGAGGAATGATGAGTATCGGAGTGCAGTGTTTGGTGGGATGAGAAGTGGACAGATTGGGCATCAGGGTGACAGAAGTGGTGAAGTGGGCGTGGAAGGTGTGGGATTCGCCTCCTACACTATTGGTGCTCCCCCACTACGACGACTTGCGACCAACTCCCATCCCATTGGAGTTCTTCCCATGCCCAGGTCTCACCTTCATGGCGACAACATCATCCCTCCACGTGCACATCGTCCACCAATCAGCGCACACTCTGTGGACAGCATGGGGCGGATGGGATACGGAATGCAGTCAAATGGTGTCATGCGACGGGATCAGGTGGAAGTGCTGGAACGTCAACTTGGTGGACAGAATGGAGATATGCGGCGCACGGTACAGCTACCTCGACCGTCAACCATGCCTACTCTCTTCGACCCCGCACCACGTGAATATACGGACGAAGACAAGGAACGACTGTCACGCAAAATGGTGGGAGCAACGGTGGACAAGGCATTCACCACCACTCCGTTTGACGGCTCAAATTTCCGTGAATGGGCACTACGGTTTCGTATGAACGCCCGGGTCACGAATCTGTGGGAGTTCTTTGTGACCCTGCAGTATCCGGTTACCATTGGAGATGGTGACATTGACGACGCTATGGGGCGGCTGGAAATGCTACAGGCGGATTACTCCCAGCGTGCGGCACTCGCCTTTTGGGTCCTATTGCACAGCGTGAGCGCCACGATTCAACTACAACTAGACATGTTCCAGGAATCCTACAGCCCGGCTTATGAAGCATGGGAGTATTTGATGGACACTTACCAGGCCAAAGATTCGGTGGCGAAGGTCTCTCTCATGAAGCAGTTGGACAACCTGAAAATGGGGAATCAAGAGAGGGTGGAGGAGTACGTGAACCGCGCAACGGCAATCCGGGACAAGTTAGCACTCGCGGGGAAGATGGTGGATGAGGACACATTTACCTTAAATCTGCTCACCGGACTACCGGCGCATTGGGAGGAGATGAGGCACTCGGCAATGCTACACAACGTGACGGACAGCTTCACCTTGCACCGGATGATGATTCAGGAGCAGAGATACCACGACCTCATCACGAAGAATAACCGTGACCGGCGTCCACCTCGTATGATTGGACAAGCACGTGGAGACCACTCACCTTCTCCAACTGCTAAGGGCAAAACCGGGAAGGAGGGGTCCAGTGGAGAGAAAACGCATGGCAAGGAAGGAAGTGCGGATCGCTCACCTCTTCTGTGTTGGTACTGCAAGGAGGTCGACCACCCCTTCTTCAAGTGTACTAAGGCACCCCCTGGCTGGTCACCACCAGGGTGGGAACCGCATACCAGAAAGGCAAAACTGCACACCAGCGATAGTCGTTCGTCCTCCCCACGAAGGAGTCGCAGCCCCAAGCGTGACGACGAAGCATCAACACAGCAAGGGACAGCCGGGGAAGACAAGCAACGTACTGTTACGTGCATTGCAACGGTGGGATCGTCACAAGCTACCTTACCACCAGCTAAAGCGTCATCTTGGATGCTGGATAGTGGATGCAGCCAGCACATGACCCCGGACAAGCGCTGGTTTGAAGAGTTAAGGGAGCTGGATGAACCTGTTTGTGTGGAGCTCGCTAATGGGAGCGAGCTGAGCAGCACTATGACGGGAACGATCAGAGCAACGGCACCTGATGGGACAACAGTCCGGTACACTGACGTCCTCTACGTACCTGGCCTGAAGAGCAACCTGCTCTCCTATTGTCAGCTGCTGAAAAAGGGAGCACACATCAATACGATTGCTTATGGAGACGTAGAGGTCACCATGAAAGATGGAGAGGAGTACGTGCGGATTGGAGTTCGCAAGAACGTGGATGGAGTGCTCGTGGTGCAGTATGAGCATGCACTTACATCCGCCCATGATACTGGACATTCCCATGATGGCGCGTCATCAAAGAAGCATGATTGTGAAGAGGGTACACGTTCCTGCACACCTGGAGTGCAGTTGAGTGTCCGCTCTGCACATGCATCCGTTCAGTACCGCATGGCACACAAAGCCTGCATCGTGCGGAAGCGGGCACATGATGATACCACACATGAAGTCTCACCCCACGTTGCGGTGTGGACTTCAGGGGGAGAAGAAAAACGGTTCGCGATGGATTTGGGAGTCGATGGAGCTGACCCTGTAAAACAAGACTTACCTGGAGCTGATGAAGTTGCTGCAACCCAAGGAAGCGGAGATGCAGATGACTTACCTGCAGCAGGTATCTCCATTTCGGAAGACGTGGAAAATGTCGACGGTGGAGATGCGGTGAACGAGTCAAGAAAGAAGCATCTTACCTGCACTCTGCTGGCTGGTCAAGGCAATCAAGTCAAGGATTATGGTGTTGTACTCACCTGTGCAGCCACCTCGACCGGGCCTGCACACCATGGCATCACCTAACTCCACACTCACTCGTGTGCTTGTGGCTGTGTTCGCGGATGACTACAAGCACATGGGTGAGGGGGAGGTGGGGTGTGGAGTGTATCTGGTGGCCCAGGAGTGGGATATGGAGTCAAGGAGCATAAGTGGAAGACCTACTCACCAAGGTTGCCAATAAGCAGGGGGAGTAGGCAGAAAGAATGCAGCCGGTCGTCACACGTCGTGTTGCAGCGGTATCGTGCGACTGGTTGCTGCTGATCAACGGCACCACCTGAGGGAATGATGGAGAACATACATTGGAACACGCATTACTGCATACCTGGTGTGGACGGTTCTCCATACCTGGTATGCACATCTCGGCATACTTGGTGTGCACTGCACACATGGAGTGGACATTTCTGCACATATGGAGTGCAGATTTCAGGGATACTTGGAGTTCGTCGGCATGCGCAGCTCTCCAGCTGATGGAGTTCGGCAACTCTGGCTGCTACCGTGTGTCTGCTGGAGTGTATGGGGAGCATCACAGGGCAACATGGGTGAAGTTTGAGCAAACTTGGCAAGATTGCCAAAGCACGGGGAGAAAGGCTTACGATGATGCAGTAGGCGCGCAGCAGATCGTCAGCCGCTGACGAACGCAAGGTGTCGCTTCTATCGCGCGAAGTGTGCGCCCGCCAACGTAGTTTCGTGCCAGCCACACGCCACGCGTTATCCACTACCAATTCGCGTCCTCCACAGTCGTTGCAGGCGCGGATCCGCGGCGGTTTCACGTCGACGGACACCAAGTGTGCGATGAAGTCAGTAGCAGTGCCAATCGCGTATCATAAAGTCTACGGTTTCGGAAATCGGCGTGCGCTAAGGGCATTCCGCCATGACGATACGCGGACTACGCCATGGTTTTGAGGAGATTTCACCGTGGAGCTGCTACGGTTTCGTCAGCAGCAGCCACTACTCTCTAGATCTCGATCTTGAATGTCCAGATTGGAAGGAGGGAATGGAAAACGTGACGGCATGTGGTTTGGTTGGAGTTTGGAAGGCCCAAAGGTTCGGAGGGGAAAGGTGCTACAGTGACAAGCAGCTTGGCCAACACCAAACCCTAACTTGGTTTGGGCGCACTCCTACCTTGTGGTGGTATACCACCTCGACCACCCCATCCTCCAAAACGGTTTCACTAAAACCTACAGCAAGGGGGAGTGTTGGAAATCCGAATACAGTATAACGAATACTGTATACCAGTGTGCTGTTTGATTTTAGTGTAGTACTCGTTATAAGCCTCCAGGTCCTACAATAATTGTCACAATTATTGTAGGGCCACAATTATTGGAGTCTAGCATTATTGGGGGGTAGAGGGTACAATTATTGGTACACCATTATTGGTGTGAATGGGTCATTCTGGAGGGGTAGCTGGATGCATATATACCCTGCTGTGTCACTTCTTCACCATGATTGAGCCATCATTGAGCTACACATTGTGTCATCATTTTACTTTTCAATGATCAATGCAAGATTTCTATCTTGTTCTTTTCTACAAACACGTTTCCGCTACGCTGGCACCATGCCTTTCTAGCATAAATCAGGTTTGCCGCGGAAAATTCTGCAGCCTCGGTTCTACCACTAAGCTGACAGCTGCACTCTGCTAGTATCAAATTAGCTAGTTAGCAATAAAAAAACTAGTTAGCGTCATTCACTACGCACGCGTAACAGACTTCCTCCTTTTCCAACTCTTAGCAAAGATCTGAGATGTGTTTTGCTGCTTGCTATGCCCATTCAGGCCTGAGGGTGCACAACATGACGGGGATCTGAGATGTGTTTTGCTGCTGCATGTTGGTTCATGCTACTGTCTGTGTGTCATGGGATGGGAGAAGGTTGTAATTGGTACAAGTACCAGTTGTTGGTTGAGTTGAATCTGTGGTCCAGCCACGCAACTCCAAATTTGACAGGCTTGAATGCAATCAAAATAGAAACGGGGGGAGGGGGAATGGAGGAGTTTGGGGGGGAGGGGGGGGGGAGGAGTGGGAGGGGAAGTTCGAAAGACTTTGTTCCAGGGCTCGCCTAAAATATACCCTTAACCCTCCAGACCTAAGCCCGAAATCAGCCCTGTAATGAATCAGGGCCACAATTTTCTCAACCCATCAATTTCAGTTTTCAAGGGAAACCCAGCCCTGGAATTCAAGGTCCAGCAGGGCAAACGCCCTGCAAGCGACAGGCCTGTCTCCCATGCGCGTTCCATTGTCAATGACACCTTGTCATCACCCATTTGGTGGCGTCGTCCATGGCAATTATTCAAATATCGCTTTTCGCAGCCGTTGGATGATCGCGTCTCAGGTAACGAACAGTCAAGATCCGCTTCACCAAGGCTGACATATCGAGCTTGAAGAGCTTGGAATCTGTACCATTGATTAGTAAAGCTGGTGCAAAGTCGACCGTCGAATGAAAGATTGAGATGCGCTCCGCGGAATGCGGTGCAAAACTCCCCAACCCAGCCAGGCTGCTGCTGATGATGCGCTCCCATTTCACCATTATTCTCGCTCATCCATTTCTCCTCAGCAGCACTTCCCAAACAAACTCGCGAAACCATGACAGCTTGAATCTCGTCTGCAGGAAAATATCGTGGTGGCCTTGAAGCGCCTTCCCACTTCATTTTGGTCTCTTCATCCAACATTACCATTCAGCACAATCTGCTTTCGTACATTGCTCCTACGCCGCTACACGCACTCACTCTCCTCCGCGGGGATTTTCCACACGGCCGCTACACCCCCACTCGTTCTCTCCCGGCCCTCTTTCCGCTGTTGTCGCCTCTCCAAATTGGCGCGAATACCGCATGGCGCTTTCAGGCATCAAGCGCAAGTGGGACTGGGCCGATTCGCTGCGCCAAGCCGCGTCAATCAAGGCAGCACCTGACGACTGGCCGTCACCGCCTTTCCATCAGCCGCCGCCCGCGCCGCTGCTGCCAACACAGACCCATATTCCGCCCACCGTCTCGCCGATTCTTAAGAGACCAAGATCGGCTTCTGACCGAGACTGCCACTTCCCTCACCCGCATCCCGTTTCCTCATCCGCCGCCGTTCTTGCTAATGGGATTCATGGCGCGCCGCGAACTTCCGTAAAGAACTCCGGACCGCGTGGCCACCTGGACGTGGAGATTAATGCCTCGCATGGCGCAGCAACCGCGCCGGCCGTTGCTCCTGGGGACGAGCCTAGCCGCAAAGGAGCCGCGGCGGCGGCGAACAGGACAGCCGTCGCTGGTGATACGAATATGGATGGTGGAGTGGCGCTGAAAGAAGGGACGGAATCGGGGACGACACGAGGCGGCAGACTCGAAGAGGGTACGGCAACGGCCGGGAAAAGCAGGATGGGCGCTGCGACACTGGTGATGCAAATGGTGCTCGCTCAACTGAGCGCGAACCAGCAACGACGTCAAGCGACGCTAGCGACGAAAGCTGCGACAGCAGCGACGGTGACGGCGAAGGTGACGACGGCGACTACCCATAGTGGTGTGGGTGGAAATCGCGAAGATTCTGCGAAATGGTGCTGCGTCACACCGCCATCGCAAAATCCAGCCGCCGTTGCGGCCACCGCCGGCAATGCAAGTGGCAGCGCCAACGCGCAACCGCCGCGGGCGAATGCGACCGGTAAAGCCAACCATAGAAGCAACTCCACGGCAGCTGTCGGGGGAGCTGCAGGCGACGGCGACTCGGTTCCGGTGCTGCTACTACCGCCGCCCGTCGCACTCCCTCCCCCTGCGCCTCAGGCGGAGGCGCAGAGTCGAGCGGCTCCCCTCGCTGCGCCAGACTTCCGCGGCCCTGCTGTGAATGTCGCACGCCGCTCGGGCCTTCGAATGAATGCTAGGTTCCCGCCCAGTCACACCGCTTCAAAAAGCTCTCCACCGCCTGCCTCCGCCAACGCCGTCTTTCCTCGTAATGCGGCTAGTACCAGTACCACCGTTACAGCTGCACTTCCGTCCGCTCTCCCAACACGTGCCGTTCCCGAGTCCTCGACTCGCCAGTGTAATGCAACAACGGCACCCGTCAAGAATCTCGAACCACGCCCCACCGCTCCCGCTAACGGCTCGCCCAATAACCGCGTGGGTGATGGTGCCAGCGGCAATGCTGCTACTAGAGCCGTCGGGGGTGCTGGCCCGGGAAGGAGCATGGTGTCCGTTCCCGTGTCGCTGCTGAGCCGGGTCCAAGTGCTGACTGCGCTGCTGCGCACGCGGGGACTAGAAGAGAAGAACGCCGTAGCGCTCGCTATTCTTGTTGCTAGCAGCGGTGCTGGCGGTGCTGGTGGTGCTGGCGGTGCTGGTGGTCCTGGTGTTGGTAATTTCGCTGGTGCTGCTGTTGGCGCCGCGACTGCTGCTGCTGCTTCGTCTTCCAATCAGTGGGCGTGCCTTCCGCCTCTAGCGCCTCGACGGATTTCAACGCAGCGAGACGCGTCGCCGCCACTTGTTCAACGCAAGCTAGCGCAGCAGCGAATGCATCATCAAGGCGGGCTGCAGCAGCACCAGCAGAGGCAGCAGCATCAGCAGCAGCAGCAGCAGCAGCAGCAGCAGCAGCAGCAGCAGCAGCAGCAGCAGCAGCAGCAGCAGCAGCAGCAGCGAGAGGTGCAGCTGCCGCCTCAGACTCCCCCTCAGCGAGAGGCTCCGCAGCGGCCCACTCACCTACCCCGCCCCCACCACCCTCGACCCAAGCCCACGCAGAAGCAGCAGCAGCTTCAGCAGAAGCAGCAGCAACAGCAGCAGGAGCAACGGCAGAAGCCGCAGCAGCGGCAGCAGCAGCAGCAGCAGCACCAGCATCAGCAGCAGCAGCAGAAACAGCAGCAGAAGCAGCAGAAGCAGCAGCAACAGCAGCAGGAGCACCAGAAGCAGCAGCAACACCAGCACGAGCAGCGGCAGCAGCACCACAATGCGGGTGTGAGCCCACCAGGCACCCCGCCATCGGCTGTAGCAGCTACAGCCGAGCACCCCTGCATGCACAGCCCGTGCAACAGCTCCAGTCGAAACTGCCGGTACCGTGCTGGAGGCAGCAGCAGCAGCAGCAGCAGCAGCAGCAGCAGCAGCAGCAGCAGCAACAGCAACAGCCGCGGTGGCCCCGGAGGCAGCAGCAGAGGCAAAAGCAAGCGGCCGGCAAGACCCAGTCGGAAGGAGAAGGTTTCCTGTGCTGAACGTTCCAGAGCAGTTCAGAGGTCTCGTGCGCAGCGATTGGGTATCACTGCTTGCACTGCAGCTGCGGGTGAGGAGAAACCAGGGAAGGGGGCTGTGGAGGTCGGAGCGGCAACTGGCCCTGGGAAGGAAGTCTGTGAAGGGAAGAAGCAGACTGGTGTGGTGTGCGCTCCCCCTGGTGTAGCTAAACCTGCTGGTGATACTGCTGGCAAGGCCGCTGTTGCTACCACTGCAACTGCTTCTACTGTCGCCACTGCGGCTGCTGCTGGGTTTGATTCGGTTGCGTCCACGGCCATCCCTCCTACATCTGCCAGCATTCAGGGTGCTGCAGCACCCGTTGCTGCCCCGGCAGCCAGCTCACCTCTCCTCCTGCTGGCTAATGCACTCCCACAACCAGAGCTTGAGGTACACCACTTGAAGTCGCATCATCACCGCATCGAATCCCACTTCAAAGCACATCAGCGCGACGTTTGCCATGGAGTGGGTGCACCGCAGGAGCAGGCGCAGCAAGAGGTGAAGCGGAAGTGCAGTGGAGGCACCGGAGGAAGAGACGAGGAGAGTGTGAGGGAGGAGGGCAATGAGGGAGGGTCGATCAAGCGGCGGCGAGAAGGGGACCAGGGTATGCGGATGGAAATGGGGATGGGGATGGAAGTGGTGGAGGAGCAGAGTGGGAGCAGCAGTGCCCTGTCATCTCTGGCTCTGGTGGTGGGAGCGATGAGCAGTGAGAGTGGAAAGGGGGAGTGAGGGGTGGCGAGGAATCAAGTGGGAAGGAGCCAATACATGATTGTGGTAGTGCAAATTCCAAAGGTGATAAGTGGAGGGAGCTGGTTAGGTAGGTAGTATCAGTGCTATAGCAGTTAGTGCTGTAGCAATCTTTTGCAGCAATTTTTTAGATGAGCATGTGCTGCAGCAGTTAGTGCCCAAGCCAGAGATTGTGCCTTCCAAAAGTTATGGCCACAAACATGACATCAAAATTTTGCCAGCATTCCTTAGCCAATAAATGGCAATCTTACGCAAACCACCATGCAACACTATAGTGTACAAGTGCGAATCTGAGTGAGCGAGCAAGGATTGCACTATCTATGTGAGAGAAAATACATGTGAGAGGATGCATGAGCAAACATTTATAGCAAAAATGAGGTACGGTAATGGTCAATTATCAAACTATTGAGGTGACAGTGCTGAAGCTTGGAAAGAACCGAGGTATACGGTAGGATCGGGCTGAGGGTTACCAGCGGAAGCATGTGGTGGCTCAGGCACGCTGGTAAGAATGTATCAGATGGGCGAATTTTGCAAGGTGGTAATAGGAAAGAGAGAAGTCGAACGAGCTCCTAAATGCGCTGTGTTGCAATGTGCAGCAATGTCCGAAGAGTGGTTATATATGTCAAATGTTGTAGCCTGTAGTGAGGCTTGTCTTATGGGGTACAAATATTAGGGTTATGCATATGTACCGTAAGCCCCCGGATAGAAGCGCAGGCCTCGGATAAGCGCCGGCGCTTATAAAAGGATGAGGGCGCTTATATCCGCTCCTCGATTATAAGCGCATGCTTCGAGCCTTACGGATTATAAGCGCACCCCTACTACCATACACATTATAAGCGCCACCATTTAAATACTACATTTTTAAGTTTTACGCTGTTACAATTAGTATCCTACGTTTTCTCTTAATATCTGACTACATCTTCGCATTTTCTACATTTTCTACCACATTTTCACGTCCTACACATTTCTACTTTACCCACACAACCTAGGCTTCCTCCTCAGCAGTGGCATTGCCTTCGTCGGCGGTCTCACCGTCCGACTCTGGCTCGTCTACGTTGTTGCAGCAGAATCCATCTGCTGCAATCTCGTCGTCAAGATCCACTTCGCCTTTGACGGCGTCCCGCCGGTGCTGCAGGCAGAGACCGTCCTGAGACCCGTCCAAGGCGTTACTGATGCCGCAGGTCAAAAACGAGCGCTCAATCAACTCCTTGGGCACCGCCTTCAAGGCCTTGGAGATCCACTTGAGCGTCAGCTCAGGTGGTGGCTTGCGGATGTAGCCTGCCACACGTAGAAGGATTCATCAGTAAGAACAGGGTCAATAATTGAAAAACAATCAGTCCTAAATCTTAATGCTCACCTCTTTCAGTCAGGCAGTCAACACCCTCGCTCTTGAACCATTCCTGGTACTGTTGTCGCACAACTGCTTTGAAGGAGCTGTTCACCGCGACGTCCAACGGCTGCACCTCCTATGTGCAGCCAGCTGGTATGACGGCCGGCACCATACGCAGCTCGCCGAATTTCGCCCTCACTTGATCAGTCAGGTGCCCGCGGTAGGAGTCAAGAACCAACATCGCCCTCCTGCTGCGCACTCCGAACCTCGGGTTGACGTACGGGCCCACCGTACCGCCGAGCCACGCGAGGACGCCTTCCGCGTCCATCCAACCGTTGGGATGTGCGGCGACCACGACATCTGCACATCCGCACAACGTTGAGATTGACACCAGTAAAAAAAACAACACATGCAAATCCTACCGGGACTGCAAAAGCTGCTCGGCTTATGTGAGGATCTGGGATCGAGCTCAGAAAAGATGATTCAAATTGAATTGAATTGAATTGAATCGAATGTCCACCTGGGTACAACACGAGGCTATATATAGGCTTGACACAAGGCCCCGTAACCAGGTGTTACGCGAAGGTTCCGCAGGTCGCGAAGCGTCCCGAACAGATCCTTACCGAATTCGGTAGAAGGCAATTCGGTGGCAACCGAAAAGCCAGAATTCGGTGCACGCAACCTAGCTCGGTGCTATAACTATAATAAAATATAGGAAAGCACCTAGCCTAGGAAATCAAGCAATTCATGCATGCATATGATTATCCTATGCTAGAAATGGCATGATAAAGTAGAGGCAAGCAAGCATAGCTGGCATAAGCCGTCGTACTCTCACACGTCCCCCCCTCAAAGCTGGGTGGCGTGAGATACACCCTGCTTGACAAGATAGTCCTTGAGAGCACGGCGTGCGTTGCCCATATCAGCTTCTGCAACCCAACTGTCCTCACTGGGGTCGTATCCCTTCCAGCGTATCAGGAACTTGAGGGTCTTGCCACCGCGGCGCCGATGGGTGAGAACGCGCTCGATCTCGTACTGGGGTTCATCCTGTATGAGAACAGGTGGTGGTGGCGGTAGTTGCCGTCCCTGGAACTGTTGGTTGGGGTCCTTGTAGGGCTTCAGTAGCAGGACATGGAAAGCGTTGTGAAGCTTCCATGTATCTGGTAAGCGCAAGCGGAATGTAACAGGTGTCACCTGTGCCTCAACGAGAAAAGGACCATAGAAGCGAGGCCGGAGTTTGGATGGGAGGTGAGACAGGTTCAAGTTGCGCGTGTCAAGAAGCACCTGATCTCCGACTACTACTAAGTGATCACGTCGCTGACGATTAGCATACTGCTTCTAGGAATTCTGCAACGTGGTGAGACGTCGCTGAGTCTTCTCCCATAGCTGCTGCAAACCGCGTCCGTGATCCTGCATCAGTACTGCTCCGACTGCTTGGTCACTAGCGTCTGCTTCCACCACGTAGTCCTTGTCTGGATCCGGCAAGATGAGTACTGGCGCTGTAGTCAGTGCTGTCTGTAGCTGCTCCATGGCTTGCTGATGAAGGGTATCCCATTTGTAGGGCATATCCTTTTTCAGTAGGTCGGTTAGTGGTGCTGCTATCTTAGCGTACTGCGGCACGAACCTGTTGTAGTAGTTGGCGAAGCCTAGGAACTGCTGTAACTCCTTCACGTTCTCTGGTACTTTCCACTTCTTAACGGCTTCGATCTTCCGTGGGTCCACGTGTATGCCCTCGACACTCACCATATGCCCGAGAAACTGCACCTTCTTCAGGGCGAAGTCGCTCTTTGACAGCTTCACGTAGAACTTGTTTTTCCGTAGGATCTCGAACACCTTCCGCAGATGCTCCACGTGCTCCTTCATGTTCTTGGAGTATATGAGAATGTCGTCCAGGTACACCACCACGCATTCGTCCAGCAGGGGTCGTAAGATGTGATTCATCTCCGCCTGAAACATTGCTGGTGCGTTGCAGAGTCCGAACGGCATCACCAAGTATTCGTAGGAGCCGTATCTGGTACGGAACGCTATCTTGTGGACGGAGTTGTCTGCCATCTTGATCTGCCAGTAGGCCGATCGTAGGTCCAGTTTCGAAAATACTGTTGCTCCACGCAGTTGATCGAGTAGGTCGTCTATGCGCGGTATGGGATATTTGTTTTTGACTGTCTGTTTGTTCAGTGCGCGGTAGTCGATGCACATCCGTAGACTCCGGTCTGGTTTTGGAGTGAAGAGAATTGGTGCGCTGTAGGGAGAGGTGGATGGCCGGATCAGTTGTCTGTGTCAGAACATATCTATAGCTTATACTGCTGTGTAGGCTGTAGTGGGGTATCCCATAAGGGGTACAACCCAGTTAGGGTTTCATATTTGTACTGCTTTCATTCATAGTTGATTCATTCCTGTTTTCCTATTTTCACATGGTATAGAGCGGGTCCTACCTTAGGACCGTTGTCTGGGCCCACCGACGCGCGCCCCGAGGCGCGCCCTTTTTTTTAGCGACCCCTCGGGTCGCCTTTTCACTCGCGGCCCCGCCGCCTCCTCTGAAGCGGCTTTGCCGCCTCTCCTGACGCGGCCCAGCCGCCTCCCTTGACGCGGCCCCGCCGCCTCTTTTAACGCGGCCCCGCCGCCTCCCTTGACGCGGCCCCGCCGCCTCCCTTGACGCGGCCTCGCCGCCTCCCCTGACGCGGCCCCGCCGCCTCCCCTGATGCGGCCCTGCCGCCTCCCTTGACGCGGCCCCGCCGCCTCCCTTGACGCGGCCCCGCCGCCTCCCCTGACGCGGCCCCGCCGCCTCCCCTGACGAGGCCCCGCCGCCTCCCCTGACGCGACTCCGCCGCCTCCCCTGACGCGGCCCCGCCGCCTCCATTGACGCGGCCCCGCCGCCTCCCCTGACGCGGCCACGCCGCCTCCTCTGACGCGGCCCCGCCTCTGCTGCCGACGGCCCCGCCGCTGCACTCTACGGCCCGCCGCTGCACCCTGCCGGCCCGTCGCTGATCCTGCCGGCCCGCCGCTGCACCCTGCCGGCCCGCCGCTGCTCCTGCCGGCCCGCCGCTGCACCTACCGGCCCGCCGCTGCACCCATCGGCCCGCCGCCTCTTACGGCCCGCCACTTGCACCTGCCGGCCCGCCGCTGCACCTGCCGGCCCGACGCTGCACCTGCCGGCCCGACGCTGCATCTCCCGGCCGAGCCGCCCCAGCAGCCGAGCCGCCCGGGACCCAAGCCGCCGAGCCGCCCGGGAGCCGAGCCGCCCTGCACCCGAGCTGCCCAGCCGCCGAGCCGCCCGGGAGCCGAGCCGCCCTGCGCCCGAGCCGCCCAGCCGCCGAGCCGCCCGGGAGCCGAGCAGCTGTGCACCCGAGCAGCCCGGTCGCTGAGCCGCCTTTCTGCTGACTGCACGACCTGCCCTGCCTGGTGAGCACTGTCCCACTGACACTGCGAGCTCTTTCCCTACTGCTTGCACTGCGTCGCTGTCGTCACCATGGCTACCCCTAGTGTCCTAGCTTTTGACGCTGAGGGTCGCGCCATTGATTTTGAGGTCTGGTTAGACGACCTGCAGCTGTTCTTACAGTGCGACAGGGCTGACGACCTTTCTCTCTTTGACCTCACCTCTGGCGCCTCTCCTGCCCCTGCTGCTGATGCTGATCCCGCTGTCCGCTCTAAGTGGGCC